GGTACACGGATGCGATCGGTGTTCACCCAACGCTATCCGCATCATCTTTGATGAATCGGAATTCGCCGTCCAGAGAGCGGAGACGGTCAAAAATGAATTCACTGGAATGAGGAATGAACGTACACGATGCAACACGCTCGGGAGGAAAAATGGGCTGAACGCATGTTGCACACAGACAGCCCCCTAAAGATTGACCACACTGAGCACAATTGATGTGTGGCTGAGAGTATTGCTGATAGCAATGGTGCAAACGAATGGATAGGGACAGTGAAAACTGCGTGATCACTTGACCCATTGTCTATACACAATACTTGGCTGAGAACTCAAAGTGAGATGAACTATGGTGTGTGTGTGTGCTAAGTAAGTAAAAGTTCGAAATTGACCGCGTGGATTAAGCACGCGTGCTATCTGAATCTTACTGTGAACCGGGAACCACAATCATAGCAATCCTGGTACCTGGAACCGTGCAGTGACAGTACTATTTTAAAATCGTACATGAGTAAAACAACCCCATAAACTGAAACGGAGACGAGGTGATTTGCATCACGATACTTGAGAGAATGAACAATAAGACAGTCGCTATTTTTTCCATTTCTCGTGAATGTGTGTGTATTTTGGGTCGTCAAGAGCTGCTCTCTCCTCGTCACGAATACAACTAGGATTGATGAAGTTCGATGGAGTCCGACTTCTTTTTGCATCGGCTAGGGACTTAGACTACTATACACTTGTTTGTGTGGTCTAGCAATCTCCAGGCTGCAGCGAGATCCTAAGACAATGGAAAGTATCCGCAAAGAATAAACCGACGAAACTGCCAGGGGGGGGGGTTACCATCCACGTGGACGTCCAATGACGTCGACGCACGACAAAAGAGTTCCTCTCGAATTTGGGTACCGTTCTTGTGTGATCGCAATCTGCAATGCGTACAGTTCACTTCTGTCGGTTGTGCTCACACGGTGAACTTTTACAAACGGATGTACCGGCGATTTTTTGTTGTTGTTGTAATTTAAGACCAATGAAGCCAATCCCCCCCCCCCNCACATACAGTACATATATCCATATAGAGTCGTTTATTTCACGCGTCATAATGAACAACATTTTTAGGTAGGAAGCTAATTCCCAACGGATTGTGAAACTGAACCAACGGGACAATAGAAGTGTTGCCGTTGTGAGTTCCTCTGTGATGAAATTTATTTTTCAAGGCAAGAATACATTCAAGCGCGAACAAGGAGAAGAAGAGAACTTACTGGTCACGTGAGTATTCGAAATGATCGGACAAGTGGTGACGAATTCGGTCAGTTGCGGTTTGATCGGAGCACAAATCCATGTGGTACGCAGACGAATGTACCGGGAACCCAGATCCTGACTTGCCTTGATCCATGAGTCAGCCAGTCGGGTTTGCAAGTGTTCGGGCGAGGCGTATTTCAAAGCCCGATATGCAGTGAGCAGACGCAAATTGGCACGTGAGCCAGCCCACTCAGCATTGTTTAGAACTAACAGTAGCCCTCGGGCCTGTACAGAGCGAATGAGAAAGCAACCAGGGGGAGTTGCACACGGTCAATTCGCGTTTTGGGACCCAATGGGATGCGGTCACACACGCAGCTATGGGGTTAATCATGTTTGCAGTAGTCCCAAAAACAATCCACGTTACAAATGCACAACAGAGAGAGAGAGGGCAGATGGGTTTTCTAGCTGGAGGCGAAACGGGATAGATATCCCCAGTTAGTTATAACCTACGGTTAAGATGAATCAATCCTTTCCAGGTAGACATACTTTGATATGGTTGAGTGTCGTAAACAGTGGCGCTCGTACATCAGCCATAGTTTACTGGAGTTCTCAATTGTCTTCAACTTTACTTTCAACCTTGCTGTCTTTGTCTAACCGTTTCATTCCAAAGACAGCAATCAAAATCGATGTAGGAAAGTGCATGGTTAATGATTGCACAAACTGATTGAAGGTGAAACTCATTTCTTTTCTTGATCGCGTTCAACGTAAGGCGACTCGTCTTTAACTGGTGACTTGCAATCACTACCTCATCGTCGGACAGTCGCTTCTTTATCCTTATTCTATCGATACTACTTTGGATTTTGCACCGGAGAACTTGCCGCTTCTGCTCCTCTTCCGCTTGTTCTTCCTCCTGATAGATCCCGTAAACAAATGCCTAGTTACCTATTTCAAGTGACAACTCCGCGGTTGTCGCATTTCTAACTTTAAATTGTAGAACCTTCTACCCCTTTCGGTCTTCCCTCTAACTTAAAACATCTTTGTCTTTAAACGCAGATGTAAGAAGCTGGTTCTCGCTTGAACGCTCCCCTTACCTTCTCATATACAATAGAACATTTTTGGATTCTGGGGTTTACCCCTTTTTACTGTATTCACTTACCTGTAATAATATTTCTTTAAATATACTGTGGTATACACATATGGCAAATAACCGAACATAACTTTCGTGCACTACAGCTATTCGGATAGAATTCCGAGGAAATAGAGAACTGATGAATGAGCGCGTGGGAGACGTAATTGGTGTGCCCGGTTTGTAATCCCATCATGCCAGTGATTTTCAACCAAGAAATTATTAGATTCACACATTAAAATTTGTAAATGATATGATTTTTCTCGTGACTGTACAATGTTTAATCATGGACTGAAACGAGGACAGAAGACGCGAGAAAATGTGGCAATGAAACTCTGACTCGCACGCATCCACTCAATCACAACAACTACCACTCTCTGTCCCCGTCCCCCGCAGGTCTCTCAAAGTCTCTTCATTTCAAAGACACACACACACACACACACACACACACACACGTTCACACCTCACAATCCCAAAAGTGCTGTACTATACTCACCTGAGATACAATGTGGGATTGGGCGGATTGTCGTATGGTGCTCATATCGCCGCCCATCCAAGACGGCCTAGCTGTGTCCGTATCATCCTCACCTGTCCGACTTGGGATGGTGGATCTGTAATTGTAGCACAGATGATGAAGTGTGTGTGTGTGTGTGTGTGTGTGTGTGTGTGTGTGCGTGGCACAGAGGATGAAATAGGTGCACGAGGCGAAGATAATTTTGGGGGGAATGGGAGGGGGGG